TAGGCCTCCCTAGGTCACGTGAGTTTTGTCAGAGCTTTCCATGGATGAGAGTTACTTACGTGGAAGTGTATTCATTTCATGTTCGTGTCCGAGAATTAGAGTGTCTAGTAACGTAATATGATGTCCTAGTAACGTAAACATAATGTCCTAGTAACTTCAATAGAAGGTGTTATTAATGTGTCCATGTCATGTTCGTAATTAATAAAGCGTTGTAACGAAGCGGTGTTTGAGAAGTCGCCCTCAAGACGTAATAGATGTGTATTGACGTATAAGATACGATAAGTGTAAATATCTATCACGGCCACGCTACCAAAGTCTTCCTCTCTTTTATACTCTTATACTATCAATATTCTACCTATATGTAATCTTCTTCATGTGAGATTTGTCTCATTACAGGTCCATGTATGATGATTCATGTGTGTATTGGTCCATGTATGATGATTCATGTGTGTAGTCCTTGCATGATCATTCATGTATGTATTGGTCCATGTATGATGATTCATGTGTGTAGTGGTCCTTGTATGATAATCCATGTGTGTATTGGTCCATGTATGATGATTCATGTGTATTGGTCCATGTATGATGATTCATGTGTGTAGTGGTAAATGTATGATGATTCATGTGTAGTGGTCCATGTATGATGATTCATGTGTGTAGTGGTCCATGTATGATGATTCATGTGTGTAGTGGTCCATGTATGATGATTCATGTGTGTAGTGGTCCATGTATGATGATTCATGTGTGTAGTGGTCCATGTATGATGTTTCATGTGTGTAGTGATCCATGTATGATGATTCATGTGTGTAGTGGTCCTTGTATGATGATTCATGTGTGTATTGGTTCATGCAAGATGATTCATGTGTGTATTGGTCCATGTATGATGATTCATGTGTGTAGTGGTCCATGCATGATGATTCATGCGTGTAGTGGTCTATGTGTAATAACCAACCCACCTCAAGAGGCTCGGCACAGGGAGGAATCCGCATAACTTCTTTCGGCCAACTTTCTTGAGTGGTGTCCCTAGTTCTTAGCGGCGTGGATGACTGTCAGGGGAGGAAGGAAGGTGGATAAGAGATGCGCTAAAAACCTGTGGGTGTATATCCAGTCTCTATATTTTTTCTCAATCTTACAATTAAGTACACTGTACTGATCACCCGAAGAAGATCGCTCGGCTTCAGGTGATCCACTGTACTTAGAGAAACAAGAGGACCGTTGAAGGAAGAGACGGAAAGATAATTTAACTAGTTGGGTGGGGGATATGTGACCTTGACCTGAAGTGAAAGCTGATGCACACACTTAGATGACCTGACCTGAGGTAACGTTAAGTTAGGTTAGGCGGAGCGGATTGGCGTGAAGAATCTTCAGGTGATCCATTCACACACACACACACACACCCTAGTTCTTTTATAAGAACATAAGAACATAAGAATGGAGGAAACGGCAGCGGGCCAATTGGCCCATACTGGGCAGTCCCGTTTACACCTAACCCCTATTGCTCATATGAGCATCCAACCTATGTTTGAAGCAATTCAGCGTATTCGAGTTAATGATGATATTTGGTAACTTGTTCCATTCATCCACTACTCTGTTTCCAAACCAGTGTTTACCTATTTCACGCCTAAATCTAAATTTGTCTAATTTAAAACCATTGTTACGAGTTCGCTCCTGGTTGGATAGTTTGAGTACCTTTGTAATGTCCCCTTTGTTTAGCCCTGTCTTCCACTTGTACACCTCTATCAGGTCGCCCCTCGCTCTACGTCTCTCGAGGGAGTGCAAATTAAGATGCTTTAACCTGTCTCTATACTCAAGGTTCCTAATGCCCGGGATTAGTCTTGTCATTCTCCTCTGTTTATAAAAATGATCCCAAGCCCACCCATGACAATAAGAACCTCTTAGTATTACCTTTAAAAAAAAAATTATCTCAAATTCCTCTACAACTAAAAACCTGGAACGTAAATATAACATTTAGTAATTCATGCCTCTGTAAACAAATGTTAATTAAGAACTCCCCGAGCAATGCAGGTGGCTGCATTTAGAAGGTTCCTTGCAAGGAATGTAATATGTTCTACTTAGGCCAGATGGGTAAAGATCTTATAACTAGACTTAAACAGCATAAATATAGTGTTAGAACAGGCCAGGAATCCAATGCTCTGTTCATTCATATGAGAGATAATAAGCATTGCATTGACTTGGATAATGTCTCCTCAATATTAAATTGTAATTCAATTGTCAATAGCAACATTATCGAATCCAGTCTCATTAAACATAGCGAATGTGTCAACATGAATTTGTGTAATGGCATGTACAAACTGGACAATTTTGTGATTAACAAGATTTGTAACCAGGTGAAAGGGTTGGGTCACTACCTTATGACCTGAATATGGTGGACACACACTGAACATCCTCCTCCAAAAACGAACACCTAAATGAACACAGCTCCATTCCACCTCTCAACATCTACTGGAGACAATTAGGTCACCTAATTTAGGTGACAAACAAATAGAAAGCCTCCTAATCACACACCCATAATGGCAGGAATACTTTGACAATATTATACTCCCATACAGATACAGAAACAGGAACCCATCCATATTACACAGACCCAACATACCACACCCACCTTCCCGATACTAGACGCTATATTCCTCCTCAATTGGTTAAATCAACGATATGGACACAAGCCGGGCGGAGAGTCGGCTAGTATGCGGCGGCCAAGAGCAAACCTTATAGGCGGGATGAACCCTTATCTTTGGCTACTCGACAAGCACCAGCGTCGTGGAGGCAGAGTTAGGCTGAGACCACAGGCAACCCCGGCGCGGTAGTCACCCTAGACAAAGTCCTGACTGGTGGCCTTCCTTTCCCTTCCATGCCAACCCAAGACACATCCCATCAAATCTCCAGCCCCACCCTTTCCAGCAATGTTAACTAACACCTTAACAACCGACGCACACGTCAACTAGACTCCCTCACAGGGAAAGCTGCCACATCGCGGAGGAGGTGATGCTCAGCAGAACCCTGTCAAAGTCTATAAAACACAGCATTGGCTTTGTTGAAGTTCCACTCCGTTTTTAAGAGGAAAATACAGACACTGCAACGCTAGGTTAGATCCTCAGGTTTGCACATTTCAGACAGCGGTTGAAACACTCGTCTGACTTTTAAATGGGAAGGGGAAGGGGGTCGATACAGGCCACGATTTATAATGACGTCCATCGAGGCAAGCGATAGAGCTTCTGAGGGCTAAGTCAGGTCCAAAGCCCCTGGGAAGTCACACTTGACAGAATCCCAACAGGCGGCCCCGATCCCCTTCCCTCCACAAGCCCATCCACGCCACAATACCACTGAATTACATCACCAACTTCACGTCCACATTCACCTTTCATTAAAAGCTCAATTCGCTACTTTTCCCCTCAATCTCTCCCAACCACCTCCAACTACACACTAGTCCTTCTAAGCTGCTTGAATACCCTGACCTTTACAATGAGAGATTCACAATCCTACCACCTCCAACTACACTTCACTACGAACTATTACACATTTTCTCCTCAAAAAACTCTACGACGATGCCCTCATCCTTCTACGGTATGAATACCTTGAATTTTAAAACTGAGGTTTCAAATCTCTCCCTCCCTCACCTGTCTACTCATTACTTTGACATAAAAACTCAAAGATCTGTCTCCCGCTTTCATAGAAAAACCTCGACGACGATGCACTCATCCTTTCCACGCTACGAGTACTTCGATATAATATTCAAGTTCAAAGACTCAAAAACTTTTCCTCTCCAACTCGCTCTGTCCATCTCAAAGACTTTACCTTCGCCTTTCTCAAAACAACTCAACCACTAGCCGACCTTTTGTTCTTCATATATTTATTGTGATGGTGTGGCGACCAAGGCCCGAAATGGTGCTACCCATGGCGGTTTTTTGGGCTCGGGCTGCATTCGTGAATGTGGCGGTCTTCAATGAAAACCCTAACCCCTCGCCCCCTCCTCTGCTTCTTCGGCCGGGCTGCTACTGACAGCCTAAGACAATGCTATCGCCATCAGGTAAGCTGTGTTAAGCAATGATACCTTTCTCTAGTTCTACAACTCCCTCCCATCCACCCTTTACCCAACCACTGAACTTTCTCACCCTTGTCACTTGCTTTTTAATCAGTTAATTAAAGTGAAATTGCCCAGTTCATGAACTGGACAGTCATTTTGCCCAGTTCATGGAATGGGTTCCCAACCTAAACCAACTCGACCTAACCTAACCTAACCAAACCTAATTTAAACTAACTTAGTTTAGCCTAACCTAGCCAACCATAACTAGGCTAGATTAGGAGTCCATTAAACGAACTAGCAAAAGGACCTAAACTAACTCAACCTAAACTAACCCAACAAGATTTAGGTTAGCTAGGTTACGTTAGGTAAGGTTAGGCTGATTTAAAATAAGTTGAGTTGGGTTAGTTTGTGAGCCCTTTTCACGAACTGGGCAAAATGACTGCCCAGCCCATGAACTGGGTAATTTCTCAGTACATACCAGGGTATTAACATAAGAACATAAGAATGGAGGAAACTGCAGCAGGCCTATTGGCCCATACTGGGCAGTCCCATTTACACCCAACCCCTATGTTTAAAGCTATCCCGCGTAATTGAGTTAATGATGATGTTTGGTAACTTGTTCCACTAATCCACTAAACTATTTCCAAACCAATGTTAAATTTGTCTAATTTAAAACTATTGCTACGAGTTCGCTCCTGGTTGGATAATTTGAGTACCTTTGTTATATTACTTTGTTTAGCCCTGACTTCCATTTATACACCTCGATCATATCGCCCCTCACTCTACATCTCTCGAGGTGCAAATTAAGATGCTTTAACCTGTCTCTGTACTCCAGGTTCCTAATGCCCGAGATTAGTCTTGTCATTCTCCTCTGAATTCTTTCTATGGATTCTATATCCATTCTATAGTACGGTGACCAGAATTGAGCTGCGTAATCCAAGTGAGGTCTCACAAGCGCAAGATATAGTTTTAGGATAATCTCGCTAGTCTTGTGACTGAACTCCTTTGTATGGATCCAAGTACTTTGTTAGCCTTGTTTCGTGCAAATACGCATTGTTGACCTGGTTTAAGGTTCCTATTTATCATTACTCCTAAATCTTTCTCACAGTCGGATTTCTCTATAACATTATTGCAGTTTCACTCCCAATTGGGTTAGATCAATTTTGGGCTCACCAGAAGTTGTCTCGTCAATTGCAACAACTTTTTCTAATACCACTTCTGTTGCAAATGGATGATAAATGAGATGGTAAATTCACTTAGGAAATTTACGTAAATCTGCAGTCACCGCGTATCTTCTGTTTGTTTACAACTGACCCGTAAAATTACACCATGATGCTTAGACAAAGTTGGTTTCATTGGTACCATATATTAAAATAAGTATTTTCCGTATAATATGGCGCAGGGGGGTGGGGGTGTAGGGGCAGGCCATGAGTTAAAAGTTAGGTCAGGTTCTGCAGGGGGTAACTAAAACGACTCACGTCTGAAATGAAGGTCAGATTCGAATGAATCACACCAAATAACACAGGCAAAACATAGATTTCTGGCCAAAAATCAATTGGTACTAAACTACAATTTTACCCAAACCAGAGTTCTGATTTCTTCCATTTAATTTCTCATACTTCTACTGTCCACGTTTTGGGTTTAACGCTCTGACTAATTTAGCTTTATCGTCATTTCTAGCACGATTTCTATGTAACCTTTCGTTATATATACCCATGCCAACTGCCCTCTCCTTGACCCCCGTGCTCTCATGTTCCCTTAGCAGTTTAAAGACTTCGACATCTTTTCAACTACCCTCCCGAGAGAGCCAGCCAGGGATGCCACTCCGTCCCTAGATAAATGCACCCTGTCCCTTGCATACAGTCTCTTCTGCCGTAGAAGTTTCGCAGTTGTCAATGAATGGGACTGATATTGACTTGCAATACCAGTCAAGATGGCTGTTGTCACCAACTGCCCTTAACAACCATTCACTAACAACTCTCCTTCTATGCAGGACACCACTTATGATAGGGATCTCTCCCTTCATCCTTGTCCGGTCAATAGCTTCCTTGAACTTATCAAGGAGCTTTTCACTTCTACACCGGCCAATATCGGTGCCTCCTGCACCAAGGCAAAAAATGGGTTTGTTCCCATTACAATATATGATATTGTCCATCCTGTCTACTAAGTCACCCACCCCAGCTCCTGGCAAACACACTCTTATTTTCCTGTTTATGAACTTATTAAAAAGGGTACGATCTAGGCACCTTACCTGCGAATCACCAACAATTACAGTTTTCTTACATTCTACAGTATGTCCGCCTCGCCCTTAACTGTCTTACCACCCATTTCGTCCTCTGAAGGACTAAATGCGTTTGTACTGTACATAAGGTGATATTTTGGCCTTCTCCACTACCAGCCATGTCGCCCCTCTCTTCGCTATATATATATATATATATACACACAGGGGGATTAACCGGCTGATAACTGCTGAGTTTTCTTAAAATAACCAGTTGTTTATGATATTAAACCGATTTCCATATTCTCGAATGTTTGTTGTTGCAATACTCTTGAATGGTTTCATTCTTCAGGTGCGAGGCGTATTTTGGAAAACCTTTCCCTCTTATATCGGTGGCCAGTGAGTGAAGCTCGAATGTCATTGTTAAGTAAATACACTCTATCCGAAATAAAATTTCTTCCTATAATTCTGTAAAGGCCAGATAAACCCTCTTATGATACTAACATACAACACATTACTGGTGAAGTGGATAACAGGAGTCAGCACTAGTAAACAAATACAGAATTCAGTCCTACATGACATGGTATTACAAAACTTCAAAAACACGAAATTGTGCATTTTTAGTGATCTTTGACCTCAGTAAATTGGTATAAATGTCCTGGGCCGGCGTCTTGGTATATTTGGGCCAATCTTCATCTAAATTGGAGGAAACTTGACCGAACAATTGTTAAATACGTTTTGGGGTGGTTTGACCTTTGACCCTATAAAATCCATTTTGACCATCAAAATAAACAGGTCTGTCAAGTTTCAATTTAACTGACTTAAAATTGAAAGAATGACGTTTAATTTTTACTTGTTTTACAAGAAAAAGGAAAGAACAGTTCTCCCTCATGCAAGGAAAATAATAATTACTACTACTACTACTACTTTTTTTTTTATCATGGCCTCCAGCCTCCCCCAATAGCCACACCTTCTCCGCCATTTTATTTCCTTAATATTAAATATCCTACTACTACTACTACTACTATTACTACTACTACTACTAATGATGATGATGATGATAATAATACTGCATTTCGACAACTGTTAAAGTTGAGGAGAGACAGACATTAAAATGTTGGAGAAATTGATAGGTTAAGACAGGATGTAAACGAAAACCTTAGAATGGCATTTCCAGGAGAGGATGGAATCAAAGTGGAAATGTTAAGGATAGGTAGGAAAATGGCAATAAAAGTCAAGCGTGAACAGGTTAGGCATAAAAGATGGAAGAAACACTAAAAGAATGGCTGAGCATGTATAGTTCTTACATATAGAAGGAATTCCTAGAGTAATGTGGGAGTTATTATACATGATATTTTTGCAGTAATGGGGTAATTGTTAAAGGATGTTCAAATTTTTACTGGGAGAGCGATGTATTTGTCAAAGTGTCTCGGGAAGAGAGAACTGGTTACTAGTGAAATCAAGTCTAAGTAAAGGATGTGCAATGTCACCAATTTTCAATATTTTCATGGATGAGGCAAACAAAAATACAAGATGCAATGGGAAATAAGTCAGCTGCTGTAATTTGATAACACTGCTTTGGTAGGCGATTGAGACGAAAAATTACAAATGTTAGTGAATGAGTTCCGAAGTGTGTATGGCTACGAGGACAAACTTAATTGCGAATGTGAACAAAAGTAAAAATGGTGAAAATAAGTAGAGTAAAGAGACTTAAGTTTGAATATACAGTACATACAGAATGGAAGAATTGAGAAGTTTCAGAGATCCTGGAATGGATGTGTTAGTGAAGGAACGAGTGTTGATTAAAAAGCAGTAAATGGAAATAAAATATATTTTGTACTGAAATTTTTTTAGAGAAAGAGAATTGTCAAAGAAAGCATAATTGGGAGTGTATAGAGATGTTAAGCCTACGTTACTCTTGAGTGTGAAACTGGAAACGAAGAAATTAGACGAAGATGAAGTTAGCTTTAAAAGTGCCGGAAAAGAGAGCTGACCAGGATGTGTTAATATGATATAAACATACTGATTTAATGAAAAGTGAAAAATGGTATAGTGTATAATTCAGAAGTAGATAATAGAAAGGGGATGGGAAGACCAACTAGGGTGGAAGGATTGAATAAAGGAAGTACTAAAAGTGAGAAGGATTGATTTAAGGAGCAGAGGTGGATGTGAATGATTGGAAAGTATAGTGCTGAGTGGTTTGTGAGTGAATGGATGATAGGAGTTAGGCGAGCTGTGTTTGTCCTAGCTTCCGGTCACCGTGTAACAATTGTGGAAAAAGTATGAAATTATTGAAATGAATACTAAATATTATCTGTAGAATAGTAATAATAGTTAAAAAGAACTCAGCCCAAAACACTTAATATGAATGTAAATTTCTCAGAAACGAATTTCTTTATTGTATTAGAGACATTATAAAAACAAACTCACTAAGAATATAACTGCCATAACATATCTTACTCTTTACATGAAAATGAAGTGATCATAAGAGGTTACCTCATCCTGAATATTCCTCATAAGGTCACGGAGGTCCTCTTCAAGCGGGATGGTAGCATTGTTCCAGCGGGCGGCCTTCTGTAGGACACGGAGGGCACTGTCGTGTTGGCCGTTCACTATAAGCCAGCGAGGTGACTCGTCCATGAAGCTGTATAAAGAAGAAGGTCGCCGGGATAAGGTGGCTCGCCTATAGATTACTTTCTTTGACAGTAATTCTTTTTTATAATATCAAATGGCGTACAGACGTCATCATTTTGAGAACTGTGGGCAAGAAGAAGGACCAAAACAAATGGCGTGAAATCTGTTTGAAAGGGGTCGTGAAACCGTTATCATCGTCAAAGCTGCCAACACTTCACTTCAGTCTTCATTTTGCTACCGATCACAGTGTTGCTCATGAAGTGACTTGGTCAAGTGATACGATTCACTCTCGCATCAACGATATATTGTTCGATATCAAGAAACAAGTTATTACAGCTGTAAAAGCTACCGGTCAGTTTAGGCTTCAGATGGATGGAATAGCCCACCCGGGCACAGGTCATCGACCTACAACGGGGCCTAGGGGGGGGGGGATACGAGTAAAAATAAATTAAATATAGAAGAGAAAAAAGACTATATTAACCTACACCACGAAGATGCCGGAAAACCAGCGTTTTGAAGTGAGACAGATTGTGGGAGTATGGAAGAAGGCAGAGCATTTCACAGTTTGGCTGTGTGAGGAAAGAAGGATGTACTATAACGGGTTATTCTAGTGTGACCGACACCCACAGAGAAACGGTGGGCACCGCGGGCAAGACGAGTGGTACGAGCCCACGGCCTTTCCGGCGGTACACAGGATGCCAAATCCACTGAACATTGCCCGTTAAAGTACCTGTTAAAGAGAGTGAAGCAACGTTGCGGCGAAGAGAAAGGGAAGAGAGATTATCAACTAAAGGAGGAGAGTTAATAAAACGAATTGCCTTGGATTCCACCCTATCTAACAGTTGGACAGAAGAAGAGCCACCCCAGATATGAGAGGCTGTGACATTTTTGATACCCGGTATGGTGGATCACTTCTTCAAAGAAGAGATGACATAGATTCAATGTTACAGAATCTGCTGTGATGGAACACAATTTATGCTTTGGCTTTGCTTTGCTGCTCGTGTAAAGTAAGTGAATCTTATTATGTTAATTGTCTTCTTTGTCGTGAGAACCTTGCTTCAAAAAAGTTGTTGCATGAATTGGCTGTCATCATGAATGAGGCAGTTCAAGTGACGAACTTCGTCAAAGCAAGAGCGCCCAACTTGAGGCTGTTCAGGGACATGTGCTCAGATTTAATTCCGAACACATCCACTTGCTATATCATTCGGAGGTCAGGTGGTATTCACGGAGAAAGATCCTGGAACGAACTATGGCCTGAAAACTGAGCTTGAAATATTTCTCGGCGAGAAGAAACATGGTTTGGGTGGAAAGTTCTGAGCCGAAAAAAAAAAATGCTCCAAGTGGTCTACCTAGAAGATTTATTTGGTGAAATTAACTGACTCAGTACTTTCATGCATGGTCTAGGTCACACTTTCATAGAAGTCAGTGACAAGCTGTCCTCATTTAAGGGCAAACTGAAATTGTAAAAAGGGAAAATGGAGTGAGGAAAGACTGACAGTCATTTTCTTAGTCGTTCTGGAACTAGGTGAACACGTTCGGGAGCTAGGTGAACACGTTCGGGAGCTAGGTGAACACGTTCGGGAGCTAGCTTCCCACACATGAATGGGTTTCTAAGACGCGTGGGAAGTTAGCTCCTGAACGTGTTCACTTTGTTCCCGAACGACTAAGAAAACGTCTGAACGTCTCCCATCCTTAAGCCACCCCCTGAAACTCTTTGAGGAAAAATGTCTTGGAGCACTTGAACAATATCAGAGAAGAATTTTAGCACTATATTTCTGCTGAAGTTACCAAGAAATATTGCTGGGTTCGAAATCCTTTAGATGTTTATGTGAAAGATTTGCCAGGCGATAGGGCACCAGGACTGCAGGAACAACTGAAAGAAATACAGTAAGATGAGTAACTGCGCCACAGCTTCAAGCAGAAGTCCCTCAGAATATACTTTCTGGATCACACTCTTCAATAAAAAGGCAGTCGTTGTTGCCCAAATTCTGAAAGCCCTTCTGCTATTCACGACAAAGACAGCTTTGAAAATGGCTGCAGTCTAAGCATGACTTACGCTGCAGCCTGTTTGCCACAACACTTCCCTTTGAAGGCTAAGACAAAACAAGGTCATCCCTCTCACTAGTTTGAGATGTATTATTTAAATTGTATGACATTATTTTATTGTATTATTAATTTGATTTATATTATATTGCATTGTATCATATTCAATTACTCTGATGGTTGTATATACTAACACAATAAAGAAAAACATTATTTCTTTAATGATCTTATTCACTTGATACTGTCGATCCCGCAGCATGACTTACCGATATAGTTTTGGGTACCGAAGAAAGGTTTAAGAACCAATGATCTATGGAGCCTAAGCTATCAAGTCAAGATAGGTAAAAAAACCCAACTCCGATTGACACCGTTAACTGACAACAGTGGGAAACGGTGCCAAATTATTGAGTTTATGGGCCTCAGGCTGAAGCTTTTGCGGCCCCCAATTATTTACAAAGAGCCAGAAGGCGTAATGAATGGAAACAAAATTATATTGATTATAATAAATGTAAAGTAGTTTAGAAATGAACGATCATTTCTATCATCAGCGGTTGATTTCGTAGACAACAACAGTCATTCTTGATTATTTATTGGCACATTAACCCATACAATACATTACTTAGTGTATTGCACACATTAAGCTTCCCGCATCATGTTAATCTGATCAATTATAAAGAATAAATAACCAAAAATCACTTGGGTACCAATCTTTAACCTTGCCCACGATATAACATAAAAGTGATAGTTAAAACATATCTATGGCTTCTTATCTTCAACTCTCCATCATAAGTTTTATTCAACAGTGAAATTAAATGATACAGTTCATTATCTGTTACTCTAGTCTTACTCTGCTAGATTATTCGTTAACAACTTAAACTGTATATAAATTTCTTCTCCCCCTCGCTTAGGTTATGTTATATGGCTGAAAGTATTGTTTTGTCAGTTGCCTAAACCACCTAAACCACCCATGTACAGTTGGCTCCACTCCTTCGTTTACCACTTAGCGTTGTCATTCCTCTCTCTCCATGAGGTCTAAACCGCGAACACTGAACTCTGAATTCGAAGCATTCGCCCAATGAGCTGGACGGAGAGGGGGAGGGTGTGACGAGGTAGGTGTCTTTCTGTGTGTGTGTGGGGGGGTAGGGGGGGTGGGGCACCGGGGGTGAGGAAGGAAAGTGTACAGTTTATCTGTTGGGAAGGTTACAATGCAGAATAACGCTTTGACAATGCCGACAGGGTTTCCTTAGCTTGTGTCCATATATCTTCCTAATAGTGAGAACGCATCACATGGAAGCATCACTCGTCGGTGGCAAGGATTCAGGAGTGTTAGTCTTCATGAACAACAGCCACCGAGCCTTGACAGTAGTATATGTATCTTGAACCTTATAAAGTCTGCAAAAAGACTTTTCTTCATCCTTGAATGTTTCTTGGGTCCAGTCACCTTTTCCCACGTTGTGAAGTAGCGCATCTCGTTGCTCAAAAATATATAGAGTATAAATGACTTGGAACACAGGATATTGCTTCATCCTTACTTATATTAAACCTGTTACAGAAACGTTGTTCTAGTATTGCTGATCTAAGTTTCATTGCAACATGAACCATTTCCAGAAACCCGTCAACTGGGGGTTGATAAACAGCCATGGGGAGGCTTTCATTATTCTGCGTGGCCAAATTTTCAACGTGCACATGTCCAAATTTTGGTTGATACCAGTAATATTTGTCTGTCTTCAATAGGTTGGTATAGTGTCTTACTATGAAATCGTTCACACAAATGCAGGGTTTCAATTGTTTCTCTTATTTTGACAACACAACATTCATATATCGTTTCTCACTAAAGTATTGATCTTTATTTTAATTTTTGTATTTATTTATGGTCCTTTATTATTATCATCATCATCATCATCATCATCATTATTATTATTATTATTATTATTATTATTATTATTATTATTATTATTATTATTATTATTATTATTATTTCGCCCAAGGCCCTGATGTGGGTCACTGACCTGTGTCCTGGTGGGCTAATCCCGTAAAAGTCCGCGTGCTTTATTGGGCTAATGAAATATATATGGATCCTCGTATTTCGAAGCCCGATTTGGTAAAACGTTACTGACACCACCTACGTGATACGGGTAGTCCCCATTAGAGGTTCACGGCGCCATAAGCTCGTTGAACAGGCTTTGTGTGAAATATAACAGAGTCTAGGACTGCTTTTAGTATCCTGGTGGTCCAGAGGTAGCGTTCCCCGGTCACAGTCATGGGCTTGTGGGCCGTGGGTTCGAATCCTGGCTGGTTGCGGTGTTGATTGTATATATACATATATATTATTATTATTATTATCATTATTATTATTATTATTATTATTTGTATTATCATTATTATTATTATTATTATTATATTTTCACCCCCTTGCCCTGATGTGGGTCGTTGACCTGTGCCCTGGTGGGCTAATCCAGTAAAAATACAAAAAAAAACAAGAGCAACATGAACACTTTATTGACGTTCTGTTTACGCTTCTCTTCAAATGATGACCTTCAACTGTAGAAAGATTGAAGTATACTAATATAAGCTATTTTAACCAAGTCACAATAATGCCGCCAAACCTCTGACAGATCAAACACATAAGCTCTGTCTGCTGCAGAATTTAGTTCCCGAATGAGCCATTGCATTGCAACATCTGTAGTTTTGGTGTTCTCTTTGGTTCTAGTAAGGTCCCGCATGATTTTTTATAAAACAATTGTGATGGTATTTCCCCTCTGCAGCAATCAAATCAGAAATAACTTCGAGGTGTACACTTAGTTTAGAGCCATACTGAGATCCATGAAGGATCTATTGACTCATTTTAAAAGTCGATATAGATGACAGTTTTTGATAATAATTTTTCTGGAAAAAGCTGCATACCCCTCAGTTGAGTGGTATTAGTGAGTGTCCTCGGAGATGATATTTCTGCCACAGACTTCACTC